ATTTAAAAAAAAATTCTCTCTTTGTCTTTAACCTTTTGCATTTTAATTATGATGTGTCTTGTTGTAGGCCTCTTTGGGTTCATCTTGTTTGGGACTTTCTGTGCTTCCTTGACTTTTTTTTTTTTGTTTCTGTCTCTCAATTCACATTTTTTATTTTTATTTATTTATTTATTTATTTAAATAATTAAATCTTTATTGTTCAGATTATTACATTTGTTCCTCTTTTTCCCTCCCATAACTCCCCTCCTCCCAGTTCCCACCCCACCCTCCGCCCTCACTCCCCACCCACTGTCCTCATCCAAAGGTGCATGATTTTTGTCCAGTCTCTTCCCATATCTCCCACACCCCTTTCCCCCCCAAGTATAGTCAGTCCATTCCCTTTCTATGCCCCTGATTCTATTATAATCACCAGTTCATTCTGTTCATCAGATTATTTATTCACTTGATTCTTAGATTCACTTGTTGATAGATGCATATTTGTTGTTCATAATTTGTATCTTTACCTTTTTCTTCTTCTTCCTCTTCTTAAAGGATACCTTTCAGCATTTCATATAATACTGGTTTGGTGGTGATGAACTCCTTTAGCTTTTCCTTATCTGTGAAGCTCTTTATCTGACCTTCAATTCTGAATGATAGCTTTGCTGGAAAAAGTACTCTTGGTTGTAGGTTCTTGGTATTCATCACTTTGAATATTTCTTGCCACTCCCTTCTGGCCTGCAAAGTTTCTGTTGAAAAATCAGCTGACAGTCGTATGGGTATTCCCTTGTAGGTAACTGAGTTTCTTTCTCTTGCTGCTTTTAAGATTCTCTCTTTGTCTTTTGCTCTTGGCATTTTAATTATGATGTGTCTTGGTGTGGTCCTCTTTGGATTCCTTTTGTTTGGGGTTCTCTGTGCTTCCTGGACCTGTAAGTCTATTTCTTTCACCAGGTAGGGGAAGTTTTCTGCCATTATTTCTTCAAATAGGTTTTCAATATCTTGCTCTCTCTCATCTTCTGGCACCCCTATAATTCTGATGTTGGTATGCTTGTAGTTGTCCCAGAGGCTCCTTAGACTATCTTCACACTTTCGGATTCTTTTTTCATTTTGCTTTTCCGGTTAGGTGTTTTTTGCTTCTTCGCATTTCAAATCTTTGACTAGATTCTTGCGCTCCTCTGGTCTGCTGTTGGGAGTCTGTATAATATTCTTTATTTCAGTCAGTGTATGCTTAATTTCTATTTGGTCCTTTATCACACCATCGAGGGTCTCATTAGATTTCCTGTACAGCTCATCAAGTTTATCGACAGATTCTAGAAGCCTCTTGAGAGACCTCAAAAGTGTGGTTTTGAATTCTATATCCAGTAGCCTGCTTTCCTCCGGTTCTGTCCTTTGTGTCCTGTTTCTTTGTCTCGGCATTTTTTATTCTTCGCTGTGTCAATAGAGTGGCTTTCCGCGTTAAGTGTCCCAATTACCTGAGGTAGACACTCTTGGTGCACCCCCTTGTGGTCTCTGTGAGCAGTCTTGTTGTAGTCAAGCCTTGATTGTTGTAGGTAATTACTATTTGACCTCCAGGCCAACTGGCTGTGAGAATCAGTTGTGTCTGCAGTGGGAGAACTTCTGTCCTCTAGGGAGGTGCTAATCTAGCCTTTGCCTGAGGCTATCCCGCAAATGCCTCTGTGCAAGGCTTGGGCGTGGCGGGTCCCAGGGGATCAACAGGGCAGGCGGAGCAAGCAGTTATGGCTGTTCTCAGTCCCGTCCCCAGAGGCTCTGCCTCTCAGTGTCCCAGCAACCGCTGCAAACCTCGGAAAGAAAGCTGCCCTAGAGTTCCGACCGATGCCAGACAGTCCCACTTCTCCCGTTTGAGTCTGGGTCCCTAGAGACTCGCCCAGAACTGGAGCTCAGAGCCTGAGACTCTCTCCCGATTGAAACAGACAACCGCGCCCTCAGCTGCCAGCCCGATCCACCCGCACCTCCGCACCTTAGTATTTCACTTCCTCACTGCGCCTCCTCTGAGTCTCGGTATGCTTTTCTCTTTCCTTCTAGTTGTGGAATTTCCACTCAGCCAGCCTTCCTGTGGTTCTGGGTGATGTTCATTCCGTCTTTTAGGTGTATTTTTGAAGCGGTTGTGCAAGGCAGCCATCTCCGGTGTTTACCTATGCCGCCATCTTGGTTTCTCCCCTAAATTCCAAAGAGAGAATTTTAAAAGCAGCAAGAGAAAAGCAATTAGTTACCTACAAGGGAGCTTTCATAAGACTGTCGGTTGATTTCATAACAGAAACTTTGCAGGCCAGAAGATATTGGCAAGAAATATTCAAAGTGATAAAAAACAAGGACCTACACCAAGATTACTCTACCTAGCAAAGCTATCAGTTAGAATTGAAAGACAGATAAGGAGCTTCCCAGATAAGAAAAAGCTAAAGGAGTTCATTATCACAAATAAGTATTACAAGAAATGTTAACGGGTCTTCTTGAAGAATAAGAATAAGAATAGGAGGAAGAAGAAGGAGAAGGAGAAGGAGAAGGAGAAGGAGAAGGAGAAGGAATGAAAAAAGATAAGCAATAAAATGGCAATAAATACATATCTATCAATTGAATCTAAAAAAAAGCAACAACAAAATAAAAGAACAAGCAGAACAGAAACAGACTCAATAGGTACAGAGAACATTTTGATGACTGCCAGGTGGGGGTGGGGTTGGGGGATGGGTGAAAAAGGTGAAGGGATTAGTAAGTACAAATTGGTAGTTACAGAATAGTCAAGGTGGTATAAAGTGCAGCATAGGGAATATAGTCAATAATATTCTATTAACTATGTATGGTATCAGATAAGTGCAAGATATATCGGGATGATTATTTAGTAAATTATGTAATGCCAACGTAAGAAGTGTCCAAACCTGTAAGAATTTTTATGACTTTATTTGAGCCAAACTGACGACAATTGCTGGGAAGCAAAATCTCAATAGATTGAGAAAATGCTCCAGAGAATGACAGTTTTGCATCCTATTTTATACATTACAATCAAAAGAGGAGGCATAAGGAGGGTTTTATAAAATTCATTGGTGATAGATTAGGGAGGTGGGAGAAAGCAAAGTGGGAAAATCTACGGGATTGGATAAAAAACGTTAAATGAAGAGACACATACTTCTCACATTGGTGGGTAGAGGACAGTTAATAATTAACATTTATAGCACATAGAGTGGTATATATTTTTTAAAATTTTTTATTAGTTAAGGTATTACAAATGTGTCCTCATCCCCCCCATTAACCCCCATCCTCCCTACCCCCCCCCCCCCCACCACACACACACATAGAGTGGTATTCGGGGAACAAGATAACAATGAGGGAACAAGATACCCTGACCTTGGGCTCTGGTGGGAGATTGTGCCTTGAGGAGCCTGGGGAAAAAAGGATAACCCAGACATTGAAAGGGTACGTTATCTTAGATGCAAAAAAGACAATAGACAGGCTCTTTTAAGGGAAAGAGCCCCTTTTTGTCAAGGAATATATGGGGCCTGGAATTTACAACCCTCTCAGCCTCGCTTTCATTTAAGAAGTTTTAATTTCCAGACCATAGAGCCAGTAGAGCAGCGGTTCTCAACCTGTGAGTCTCGACCCCAGAAAAGTTGAGAACCACTGGGAGGGTAATGGTGAAGATATAGATGACATGGGTTAAAGTCCAGGCTCCCTTACCTTGTGCAAGAGAGTAACCTCTCTGTGAGTCAGTTGTCTTCACTGGTGAAATGGAAATGATAAGAATGCCTGTCCAAGGGTTTTTGTGAGGACTTAACGAATTGGTGCATGCAAAGTATTTGAAGATGAACACATTGGTGTATCTGAAGATGAACACATGCTATATGCTTATTTTGAAAGCCTTATAAACCACACTGACGAGAATGGTGTTGTAACTTTATTCTGAGGGCAGTTGGGACCTATGATCAGATTTAGGTTATATAAGATCTTAAAAGGATCACCCAGGTTGTAGTGAAGAGGTTGAGCTGGAGGGGAAGAACTTGAGGCAGAGGGTCCAATGAGGAGGCTGTTGAGAAAACTGAGAAACACAGAAGGTTCTAGGCAGGAAGGAGGCTATGGAGTCAGAGGTGGGAGATATGAAGGAGGCAAGAACACCTATTGGCAGTATGTATTGCTAAGGGAGTGGTCACGGGGGTCCTCCTGCCTCCGTGGGGGGATGACTCAGCAAGCGTGTGGATCCAGGCTCTGCCACTTACTAGCTGTGTGTCCTTGGGCAAACAGTGCTCTCTCTCTGTCCCTCAGGGTCTTGACTGGGGCTGAGGACTAAGGGAAGACAACTTTGCCTTCCTGAGTGCCTGCTATGTTCTAGGGCCTTGTCATGGAGTCTTGAGGGGGTAGTGTTAGGCTTTCCATCATTCCCTGAAGGACCCAGCTCAGAGCAGGTGGGGGGCCTGTCTGTGGTCATCCTACATGACTGACTAATGATTGACTTCTAGTCCTTTCCTCTCTGAGGACACCTAGGCCATGGCAGGGGAAGGGGCCCACCCTGGGTTATCCAGTTGAGCCATAACTAGAAGCCTGTTGCGCGCTTTCCTGCCAATCATGCTAGACTCTTGTCCTTTCCCAAGGTCAGATCAGCAGGGATGGGAGGACTAAATAAGAAGGAAATGTGGGATGCTGGATTGCTCCCCTGAAGGCAAATCACACAAAGCTGAACCTCATTTCCATAACCCCTGAGTCTCAAGATATGCATATAATGTCACTTCCGCTCCACTTGTGCCCCTTCTGAATAGCAACACTAGGGGTCAGACTCTCCCTGGGCTGGGCATTGGGGAGGCAGAGACAGAAGGGAATATCTGTTTCTTGTAGGTCTTTCATGCCACCCTGGAGACAGACCAATAAATGTTTTTAATGCTAAGGGTGAGGACAGGGATAGATATGTACTGAGCACATGTACATGTGTACAATGGAGTGTATGGGGAGTGATGTGGAGTGTGTGGCAGTGGGCCTGAATGGATCAGTCTTTGATATCTGTCCTTCCCACCTCATTTCCACAGGAGCCAGGCCTGGACCCCAAGCCCATCCTGGCGTTGCCCCTGGTGGAGCTGGCTCAGAAGCTGCAGGCGGAAGAGCTGAGTCTGGAGAGTGTCCTCTGTAGCTACTTAGAGGAGGTGGGGGTTAGGGGTCAGGGTCAGGACTTAAACCTGCCTCTGGGCTGGAGTGGGGATGGAGGGAGGGGCTGTGGTGACTGAATGTCCTGTCCCTGGCCTCACTGTGAGCCCTTATCTGGTTTCCCTCAATGTTGCTCAGGCGCTGAAGGTGCACCAGGAGGTGAACTGCCTGACAGATTTCCTGGAAGAATGTGAGGAACAACTGCAGGCATTGAAGAAGCTCAAGAAGAGTGAGAGAGGCCTTCTCTATGGGGTCCCCATGAGTCTCAAGGACCCCTATGACTGCATGGTGAGTCCTGGGGTGTATATTCTCAGGTGTACATGTATGTGTGGGTGCACACATGCCACTGAGCCTGTGAATATCTGAGTGTGTGACATGGGCAAGTTACTTAGTCCAGGATGCACAGCTGGAAAGTGGCCAATGGAGACTGAACCCAGCAGCGGGTTCAAACCGAAGCCCAAACTCTTAACCACCATGTTCTTCTGCCACCTGTGATTCCACCTAAGGTGCTGCACTGTCTCAGAGGGTGTGAGAGTGGATGTGGGTGGGGGTCGAATGGGGAAGAGTCTGTTCACTGTAACTACCCTGACCCCCAAGGACTGGAGTTTATGTCACTTCCCTGCAGGGCCATGACTCTACGTGTGGCCTGGCACAGTTCCTGGAGAAGCCAGCGGCCAAGGACGGGGTCCTTGTGAAAGTGCTGAAGGCCCAGGGGGCCATTCCCTTCGTTAAGACCAACATACCCCAGTCAATGCTCAGGTCTCTGAAGTGGGCAGGCTGGGACCGGGGCTGGGGCTGGGGCCGGGGCTGGGGCTGGGGCTGGGGCCGGGGCCAGGCCGGGGCTGGGGCTGGGCTGG